GCACTTTGGGAGGCCGAGGCGGGTAGATCACTTGAGGCCAGGAGTTCGAGACCAACCTGGCCAACATGGTGAAACCCTGTTTCTACTAAATATACAAAAGTTAGCCAGGTGTGGTGGCATATGCCTATAATTGCAGCCACTTGGGAGACTGAGGCAGGAGGATCACTGGAACCTAGGAAGTGGAGGTTGCAGTGAGCCCAGATTGTGCCATCGCACTCCAACCTGGGTGACAAGAGACTCCATCTCGGAAAAAAAAAAAAAAGACAGAAAATAACATAGAGAAGGTTTTTCCTTTGTGTTCTCAGAGCATATAGAATATGTAATATTCAGTTTCCCTTTTGGAGGGAGAGAGCTACCTGATACGATTTGTTTTAGAATTTGCCATAGGCATCCAGTGCATGTGAACTTAAAATTTGCAGCTATTTACCAGCTGTTGAAATAATGCAAAGTTTAAAAGCTGCAATTTGGAATCTGCCATCCAGTAAAAATCTCTCTATAGACTTTTGTGACGTTTTTTGTTTTTTAACTAAATTCCATTGATGCTTTTGTATTTTTCAGTTGTTGGTATAAGAGAATGTTTAATTTAATTACATTATATTAGATGTGGTCCAATTATAGTCCTTCAAACTCACCCAGACTATGAATTTGTAGCTAGCAGTTGCAAACACGTGTTAAACAGAATCAATTCTCCATTTAAAATTCTAATCTCAAATTGTTTTTTTCTTTATGTTAGCAGTTTAGTTTTTATTTGAGTTTGAAGAAGAGAGCTAATGATGTACATTTTCCTCTGTTTAATTGATGTTCTTTAGTGTGCTTATTAAAAAAAAGAAAAGGCCTTAAGCATACATCTAAAAAATAATAATAAATACCAAATAAATGAAGTTTTAAGCCATGACAAAATTCTTGGCATATTAAGATCATTCAAATACATAAACCTAAAGGAAAGATTTTCTGTAAATATTTTAAGTGCCAAAGGGATAGCCTGAAGACATTTATTAGGAGTACCTTGAATCATTTTAATTTCTCATTTATAATTACTTAAGGAATCCTTTCAAAGACTACTGTGTCAATAATAATTCAAAATATGACAGAATTCTACCCTAAACTTTTCCTACTTCATTTTGTTATTCTAATTAAATATTGCATTGTTAGCTGTGTTTAGGTCTACTTTTCATTAAAGATAAGCTTTGATTATAAACCATTATTGAGGCCAAAGACTTCTTAGGTCTGTTATTTAATATTTAATAAGCATTCTTAAGTGGAAAATTACTAAATTTAAAAATATTTGCCTAAGGAGATGCAAGTATTATGTAGACATGAATGTACTAGTCGACAAGACCCAACACTAGGTTTTAAAGTTCAAAATGATTTTATGTATGAGGCAAAAATCTTTATTTCTTTTTTGACCTCTTCTTCCGTTCCATATAGTAACTACTCTACCTAATTCCTCCATAGCTCATTCCTGCTGTAATTCAGCCTCCAGGAGGGTTGAGACCTAAGGCACCTTTGTTCTCTGAACTCTTTTGTTCTTACTGGCAGTCAACCAGGTAAAGCTGAATCCCAGCCAAGGGCCAAGGTCATACCTGTCCTTTACAACAGTGTAATGTTAAGTCCAGTTGTTGGAGTCCATCCATTCCCATTAAATTAATTCCAAAAAGAAGAATTAACATCTACAAATTGAGTCCTCTAAATATTTTTAGATCTAAGTTTAAAAAAAAAAAAAATAGGCAGGGGCAGGGAGAGAAGTTGATTAATTTCCAGGCAGAAAAGAAATTATTTTCTAATAAATTAAATCTTAAGAACACTTTTCCTTCTGTTTCAAAACGAATTTCTGGAAATAGCACTAAATATGATAAAATTCAGTGTCTCTTTCCAGAAAGGTAGATTCAGTCCCCATAGGGAATTTAACAATATTTGAACTGAAGCAATGTTTGAAGGCCACAAAGAAAATGAAATAAGGATTATATTTCTTTTCCTTGTAATTATCTCCCACCTCAGCACCTAGGGAAGATCCTATCAGATCACTCTCAATTCAAAGCAAGTGGTTTGTGATTTTTGGACAAAGTGGAGTCATAGGAGAGCAGATGATGGCGCTGTCTAAACAGATTTAAGTGAATGTTCCACTAATTTCTTCAAGTGGTTATCAAATAAGGGATTTCAGTGATTTCCAGACCGAGATTGGAATGTATGTGCCGGGGCTTGTTATTCCCACAGTGGCTGCTACAACTTATGTGGATGATGTAAATATTTGGATCAGCATTTGGCTGTGGCTCTGGCTTTAAATGTATGGAACTCACATTAAAGTTTAATTATAAAAGTGTGTGAGTTAATTGAACAATTAGAGAATGAGTTTGCATATGATTTGCATGCTTAATGTACTAACACGTGAAATGTTTTCATAACCCTAGCTTCCCCCAACTCATTCTCACCCCTAGTCCTATTCCCAGCCCTGGCCCTGCAACTCATGGCACCACCAGCTCATGCCATGTTCAGACTTTTTTGAAAACTGCCTGTTGAGCTTGGCCAAGGTCTACCTCTGCTGAACTGTAATAGGGTTCACATGAAGATCTGATGCTTGGTTTGAGTTGTCACATCAGCAGACACTGGATCAAAGGATCTTTGGAAGCCAACCAGATCCTCCTTTTTCATCATTCCACGGAGTTGCATGCAAACTTCTGTTGTTTTGTTAACAGTGTTACCTGTGACTTAAATGTACAATACCTGTTTGCCATGTTGTTGTTGCTTTACCGAGGGAGCGGGAGAAGGAGGGAGAAGTTTAATGGGGGAGATTAGAGGATGATTTGCTAGATTTGGGTAAAGCTTTTGTTTGAGAACCCATAGCTGCATGTTTCCAGAGTTTTAAGCTATCATCACTTAAAAGTGATTATACTCAGCTTCAAAATGATATTGAAATCCACATATCCTATATTTTGAATTTTATACTAGTGTTTTGTAAGTTACAGCCAGATGAAATAAAGACCAGAGAGAGAATAAAGAGCCAGCCATTTGAGAAAGAAGGAAAAGAAAAAAATCAAAATAAGAAGGCAAAGAAAAACTTAATCTAGTTTTAGAATTGCAGTCAGTTATCACTTATATAAACTAAAAATTCATATAAATATAAAAGAAAAACTCAAGAATGAGTCAGGAATGGATAATAAAACAGATAAAAATGCTAAAGTTAATATTGCAAGTAAAGTCTTAACAATGCCAACAGACAATATACATGTAACAAAATTTCACATATACCCCATAAATGTGTACAAAAATAAAAAATACCAACAGATAGAGAATAGGAGGATTAAGCAATGTAAAAGTAAATCAGCAACCAAAACCAAACTAATGGAGAAAGTGGCTGAGAACAGAGCAGGAGAGAAGAGCCGAAGAAGTTCCAACTGGTCACACACTAACTACAGTGAGAAGCCAAGGAAATAGCGTGATGCTCACTTTCTCTTCCTGCAATTCGAAGTGACCCATCTCAAGGAGAAAAGCTTCAGGCACTCCACTGCTATTAAAAAAAAAGAAAAAAAAAAAAAAGAAAAAAAGCCTGCGGCGTTACTGAAGTCCTCTAGGAAGGGCTTTTTATCATTGGCAGCTACTTCATATGCCACCTAATGTAAGTCCAAACTGCACAAAGAAAATTGGAGAGCTAGTTCTCCCCAAAATATGCACCCTGTGTATGCCATTCCTAGAGAACTGTGGGTCTTAATCTTTTGGGGTTTCTAGATTCTTTCAAAGAATTTAATGAAGCAGAGAACTTCCTTTCTCTCCCAAAACATACACCTGCATCCAAAATTTTGCATTCTTGTCCTAGACTCCTTAAAAATTCTCCTTAAGAAATCCCACAGTGTGTCAACACACTTTCTAGCACTTCTGTGGAACTTGTTCTCTAACTAAGGTTTTATTTGGTTTTGGAGTTTATGAGACCTTTTAATACTCTTCCAACTCCTGAGAAAAGTAATTTCTCATAGTTCTATATATAGCCAAATCTAGGTTAGATGAGAGTAACTCTAGAAATCTGCCTATTTAATTTTAGTTATGTCCATTTGAGAGCAAAGAGCTGAGTTTTGAAAAATCCAAATCTTTCCCAGGAGAAAGAGTAAGAAATATCTCATGTAAATCAGAGTAGAGCCCAGAAAATACCTGCCAACACTGGCCTTTGACTTTATAGATGCTCACATTAAGCTATTATAGTGATGAAACAGGTTGAGGCTAACCTTATGGAAAATGATAAATGAAATGATGGGAGGTCCTCTTGTTTTAGGTCTGTATTATATGATAGACCATCATTTGGGAATGTGCTTGTATTTGTGAATCAGAATCCTCAAAGTACATGCATATGTACGGGTGACCAAACTTGGCATTTCACTGTTTAGTCTTCATTGGTACATTAAGTTTTCTGAGAAAAGTAGCTGAATACATCTGAGACAATCACAGCATCATTAAATCAGTGCAGTTGAATTCAGACGAGAGAAACTCGTTGTCACCCATTAGTAAATTTTTAAATTTTGTTTAGCATCATGCTTACACTACCATTTCTCCAGAGATCTAAAATTATTCAAAGTGGCTAGTACATGTCATATTTGGGAACTGAAATTTATAGAACCGTGTGTTCTGAATGTGAAAGCCATTCAAACTAAAAATTTCAGTCAAGTTAAAAACAGAAAATTCTTTCAAAGATTGTATGTCCTTTGCTGTTGTGATGGAAAACTGTGATTAGTAAATCATTTATGAATATCTTCATTTTTTTTTTAAAGTGACTTAGCTTAGGGTGTCATTCTAAAAATAAAATAATTCAACTCCACACCTCACAAATTAACTCAGCCTTGAGAAATATGCTAATACGTATAAAAATGTAATAACCAAAGTATTTATATTCACATAAGACACCCAAATGCATTGGCACATTCACAGCACATGTGTGTAAGGTGAGCTCAGGGTAGCTATAGGGAATGAACTTTGCTGACTGCTCATATTGCCTCTAGAATAAATGTCATTTTCAGACAGGAGACTGGGGAGAACCTTCCATTACCTTGCGACCTCCGAATGAAGCCACAGCCTCCACTCCGGTACAGTACTGGCAGCATCACCCAGAGAAGCTTATCTTCCAGTCATGTGATTACAAAGCTTTTGTAAGTTACCCTCAATTCAGTATTTAGGCCCAAGTGGAGATAGGGGGTATGTTTTCGGCTTGTTTGCCATTTATATTGAAAATATACCAAAATATCCATATCCATCACTGAAATTTTTAAAGTGTTTTTCTCTTCACTGTTTCTTAAAGTAGCCTTCTATCCAAAGAGAAAGTCCAAATAACTAGAGCTTAAAAACCTTTTTAATCTTGTAAGTTTAAGGTCTGTTGTGACCTCTTCTATAGTTGTATATTTTTAAATGAATGTGATAACGTACAATCTTAAAATGGAAATGAGTGTAAATATGGCACATATATACATCTCTGCTCACTCACCAAACATTGGGTCTGCCACTTTATGTAAATACTAGATTCTTTTCACAGTCATCAATAGGATTATACTATTTTTCTTTCTTAGTTGTTGTTAGTTTTTTAGAAGAGAGGAAATAATTATACTTAGCTGAGAAATGTAATAGGAACAGCTACATGTTCAAAAGATACTGTAGGTTTGGGGTCAAGTGGTGGTTGTCATGACAACAGCAGAAAAAGTGGCTGAACCTTCAGCAGTGCATTGAAACTGCCTCCCAAAAAGAAATAGTTCAATCAGGCAAACTTCCCTGATAACTTAAAAGATAAGGATTTTACCAAAGGATAATAAATTTCACCTTCATTTGATTAAGATGGACATTGTGGTTATCTCATAGCAATTGAGTTTCTTTTTGTTTTTTGTTTTTTGTTTTTTTTTCATTTTCTGCTTTCTGCCCCTCTTTTACTGCTTACTTATATTGCAGCTTTGGATTTCTTTCAGTGGTATTGCCCAAAACTGTAGGATTGAAATGGCTCCTCCCTCCAAAACTCCCTCCAAACCCCAAGTCCCTGAGCCTTTCTGAACGTGCCTTTCTCCAAGGCCCTGACGACGCCTTCTCCTGTTGTGCCCTCTCACGTCTTCTTTAAGTCAGGGACTTCCCTAGTCCACAAGAGTGGTTCCCATCCCCGTCTCTGCAAAGTACTAGGATGTCTCCAGTCTTGTCAGGAAGTGTCCATCAAATATCTTCTAAAATAATTATTGTAATTCACTTTTTAAAAAATCGTATATAGAGCTCTTTGGGGATGTGAGGAAAGGGCAAGGGGTGGAGGAATGACAAAAGAGAAAACCCCTACTAAAGCTTCAAAAGGTTGAAGAAGAGTCAATTGATAGAAAGGCAAATCAGACATTTTGTTTGAAACCATTTGGCCCCAGCCAGAAGCTGGAGTATGGGGGGCATTTTGTACCAGGATGATACAGTATGGGATCTGGTCTTCTAACAGCAAAGTGGTTGGCAATTCTTGGGAGACTTTGTCATCCTTCTAGCTCCATTCAGCCCTCCAGGTGGCACTTTGCACCGGGAACCCAGCTCTCTTCCCCTGTGAAACAACTGAGAATGCCTCTCTCCCTCCCCCTACCCTCCCATTCCGTTTTCAGGTGGATCAACCATAGGGCACACAGCTGTGAATGAAAAAGGTCCAAAACTGCATCTCTGCCTAAAAGCCTAACATTAATTACCTATGCAGCAGAATAAGCCCAAATGGGGGACATGTTGCTTAGCTTCTCAGCTGTCTCATGCAACCCTGTAATTACAGAGATAGTAGTGTGATTTATTTTTGCAGACATTGCTGCCTGAAAAAAGGGGAAAACATTTTTAGATGCCCCCATTTTGCAGTTAAATATGATTTGAAAGACGGCATCTTTAGAAGATGCTGCAGTTTCATTATAAAGAGCAATTACAGCCCCCAGAACTTATGGTTAATTCTGCTGCATTTTCTCTATGAATGCATTTATTTGTTAGGATTAGTTACTGTCAGTTTTTTAAAGTTATGCAACAACTTACAGCCAGGAAACCTAGCCAGTAATACTTCCACAATTTGTTTTTAAAACGTTGCTCATATTTATATTCCATTTCATAAATCATTGAATTTTTTTTTTTTTAATTTTAGTATTTAGGTTCTATGCTGATAAAAGAGCTTAGGGGGACAGAGTCAACCCAAGATGCTTGTGCAAAAATGCGGGTAAGTCTGCCAAATTACTTTATTTCTAGTAGCTGAAATACTAAATACCGGGTATGGATACAAATTGCCACGTTTCAAATTACTATTTTCTTCATCTGTTGGTCTGCTGAATCACACTGGTATTACATAAAAAGGTGCTTTCATTTTCTGCATGTTTAGACTTGAACTTATCTCACTATAGTTTGAGTTAATGTCTATTTGCTATATTTGTACTATGTTATATTTGTTCTTAGTTATTTTTAAAGATTTAAAATTGTATCATTTTCGAGATTAGAAAAATGATCTTTATTACGAGAAAAGGTTTTAAGCACTCACTCGATAGTCTGAGAATATTTACTGAAAAGATCACCAATTAACTAAAATTATCAAAAGCAGAAGAATTAGGAGCATATTATATAAAGCTAATATTCTTTATGCAATTTCTTATCAGTTTTTTTAAAATTTAAGAAAAATATTCAACTTCAAGTGGAATGAACTATTTAAGTGCATATGTTGACCAAAAATGGCAATTCCAGGCCGAGCACAGTGGCTCACGTCTGTAATCCCAGCACTTCGGGAGGTCAAGGCAGGTGGATCACCTGAGATCAGGAGTTCAAGACCAGCCTGGCCAACATGGCAAAACCCCTTCTCTACTAAAAATACAAAAATTAGCCAGGCATGGTGGTGCGCACCTGTAATCCCAGCTACTTAGGAGGTTGAGGCAGGAGAATCACTTGAACCTCAAGGCAGAGGTTGCAGTGAGCTGAAATCGTGCCATTGTGCTCCAGCCTGGGTGACAAGAGTGAAACTCTGTCACACACACAAAAAAAATGGCTATTCCAAATATCTGTGATTAGTGGCTGCTTGATTCCTAGGTGTCTATTTTAGCCAAAGCAACTCTAACTCATATTGCAGACCCACCTTTTCCTTTTGTGTGTCCTTTATTCTTGCTTCCTCCATAGCGGGTGTATAGAAGCTATGGTGGTATCTGAGTAACTGCACAAATCAAGAATATCAGACTTACTCAATATAGCATCTAACTGAAGTCAAATTTAAGGTCATTAGTAAGTGGAATGCTAACTTTTATTTACGGCCAATATACCTTGTTGTTTATTTTATATGAGCAGCTTTTGGTGGAAAATAATTTAAGAGCATATAATTACACTGAAACAGCTATGAAGGTAAACATGAAATATCCATTTGTTTATGGAAAGCTAAATATGTGTGAATCTTCATGAAATTGAGACTTCAATATGTAATCACTAATATTTTGATCAATTAATAGCAAAAAAGACTGAAATAGTTATCCTTCTATTTAATATAGAGTTATACAGTACTTAAGTTATCAGTACTAGTGAATTTTTAACTTAGGTACTGTGTTTAGATGAAAAAAAGCTTCTGTATGTGTCAGAAACTCTTAACTTCTAGTTCTATTGCTGCTTATTTGCCTTAGGAGTCACTTATCACTCATAAAAATAATATGATAGCTACTAACATTCACTGAATCCTTACAGTGTCCCCTAGTACAATTATTGTCCCCATTTTACAGATGAAGACATGGAGGCTTACAGAGGTTGAATAACTTACTTAAGGTCACACGGGGAATAACTTGCCAATGTGAGACTGGAACTCAGGTCTGTCTGACTCCAGAGCCCAGGCTTTTAACCACTACATTCTCCTGCTTCCCCGATCCTCTGTTTTCTTACATATAAAATGAGAACATTAGACTAGATGCACTTTAGAGTTCTCCCTGGTTTTATAATTCTGGAAATCTTATATTCTAAATATTTATCTGACCAAATTTGTGTCACCAATGAACAATAAGAAAAAGGGAAAGTTTTCATTCATCAAGCCTCATAATAATTTTGGAAATATTCATGAACATGTCTAATAAATTAGTTTGGCGTCTCTGATTTAATACTCTTAACTAAATTACCTGAGTCCAGCTACTCCGGTGTCATAATCAGCATCAATATTGCCTAGTGCATGCAGCATCATTTAAAATATACCAGATCTATGATTTGAATCTCAGTCAATTTCATGAAATTGAGTGGATCTGAAATTACATCCTGATAGCAATAGAAAAGCCATTTTAGTAGTCTCAGTAGAGAATAATTTAGTTAAATACTCGTCTGTTGCTTAAAATGAAACTTAGAAAAAAACATGTATTTAGAAGCCATTCTTCTGTTTTGGGGGACATTTTTCTGGTTTGCTGCTCTTGGTGCTTACGTAGTTTACATGAAAACAGAAACTTCATTACTTCTCGGCCTATCATAAACCCTTATTTCCAATCTGGATTAAATAAGTCTCAGTTCTTGATAAAGTAGCTAAGGTTGCATTCACTACATTTCACCAGAGTCTTTCAAAACCAGAAGCGTAGGGTTGATCTGCTATCTGGAGCTATTCTATTATGAATTAGAACTTCCACCAACTATAAATGATGTCGATCTCAACTTGCAGCTAATTTTCAGTTTGAACCCCAAGTTGCTGTTTTCTCTGATCTCAGCATGGTGACATTTCAGCCAAAAGTCCCAGTTCAATCAGAACTCCCCATGAAAACTTCTTTAGGACACAGATGATCTAAAAAGTTGATTCACGGTAATATTATTAGACCAAAGTATTGTAGATTAAGAGTTACCTGTTCATTCTTTTAATTGAAAAAAAAAAGATGTTTTCTGTTCAAAGTATGCATTTTAGCCAAAATTAAAATGTCTCTCCCAGTAATTAGTAAATCAGTGTGATTCCCAATTCTGATAAATGTTTCCTTAAATGTACTTTGTTAACAAAGATGACTAAAATCCACTGAGTTCACAATCTAGTGGAGAAAACCAACATGTGAACATTTAATTACCCCCAAAGTGATAGAAGTATTACCATAGAGGCATTTTCAAGTTGCCGTCAGCCTAAGGGATCATAATAGATGATCTTAAAAATGACATGTACTCATACCCTCCTAAAATCAGTTTATTAGGGCTAATAACAGGTAACAGTGGAGAGCTGTACACCCTGCCCTGCACAACTGAATTATGTGCATTAGTTCATTCAGTCCATGAAGTACATATTGCCATTGCTTCCACTTTACATATGGGAAAACAAAGGCGAAGAGAAGTTAAGTCACTTACGCAAGGTCACACAGACAGCAAATGGCAGAGCCAGGATTTGAAACCAGGCAGTCCACTCCACTACCCACACTGTGAATCCAGAGACTGGACTGCCTCTCCAATGTGCCAGGAACATTCATTGTCCTGGTTTTTTTTTTTTTTCCACTTTTTAAATGGTTTTATTTTATGTGCAAATAATAAACAGATGTTGTACCCATAAATTCTACTTTCCAAAAACAGGAGCTTTTTAAAAGAAAACCACATAATAACTTTTAAAAGGCACTGGGATTCCTCTGCTTCTAGATCATTGCTAGGCTAGAAAAATAAAGTTTGTTCTACCAGGAATCACAAGTTAGGACTGAGTGTTCTCCAGAGTGGAAATTCTAGAGTGTAGTGTCATTTCAGGCAAAGATTATTCAGTTCTCATCCCCAACATCCACAACTACCACAACTAAACCAGCTCAAAACAGTCCAGCATAATTAGGCTTCATCAAACAATGTCATTATGCTCTTCTAAGATGCAAATAAAGCAAAACAGGAAATTCTAAAATCAAAATAATAGTTGACACTGTCATACAAATTGTTAGTTCCTTGTTGTATCCTCCCTTCTATAACATTAATAAAGGGAATATTTTACTGCAAAGAATATTTTATTTTATATATCACTAGCCATGAATTTTTCCCATTAGTTATTATACAAATGCTGCCTAGTGCCATTATCCAAATGGTATAACCATTTTACGTCCACAATTCATTTCTATAGTTATAAGTAGAATTTTCATGATTTAACACTGAGTTGCAATCTAACATCCATAATATATGATGTGTTGTAGACGGCAATGTAGGAAAAACATATTTTAATCACTTTTCATTTAAGTGACCTTATGTAAAAGATAAACTAATAATTTAGCAGTTTAAAGTCTCCAAAGGGTGTTTTCAAATGTACATAAAGGAAATGGTTACAGAGATTTTTAAGAAGCATCTTCCATGTCCACATCCTCTTGTAGCTGCTGTACCGTGTTCTCTTCCAGCTGCTTCCCTTTGCCGGCAAGAGGGGCTTGGATAACATGGATGTTTTGCTTAACTTCTTTGATACCCTGAACTTTCTGTAGCTCTTTATTTTTCTTCAATCTGTTCATTATACATTTAGCTTGGTGTTTCTGTTTGATCTCTTCAGTCTTCTTCATTACATCAGTAGTTTTATTTCATAGCTCTCGCTGGTGTTTGATAGGTTCATTTCTACGTTTTTCAAATTCAAATGAATTATCCACTGTAAGCCCTTTACCAGCTGCTTTCCAGAATGCTTTGGTCCACCTAACTTTGTGAGGATTGCACTTCTTTTTAAAGTTTTTAATGACATTTAGATTTACAAAATCTGAACACCTTGCAATCATTGCAGATGAACATTGTGCCATGGCCAGGGTGGATGGGCCCCAAACAGAAAGAACACTTCTCGATACACATGTTGAACCCCCGTGGGTCCCCATCGACCAAACGCCAAGCTTGAGAGGAAGTCTTTTCTTTGAGACAGAGTTTCGCTCATGTCACCCGGGCTGGAATGCAATGGTACAATCTCGGCTCACTGCAACCTCTGCCTCCTGGGTTCAAGCAATTCTCCTGCCTCAGCCTCCCCAGTAGCTGGGATTACAGGCACCCGTCACCATGCCTGACTAATTTTTGCATTTTTAATAGAGACAGGGTTTCACCATGTTGGCCAGGCTGGTCTCAAACTCCTGACCTCAAGTGATCCACCCGCCTCAGCCTCCCAAAGTGCTGGGATTACAGGTGTGAGCCACCGCACCTGGCTGAGAGTTACCTCTTTTAAATAATGTGTCCACAGGACTGGATTTTACAGAGCCATAAGTATATTGCTTTGACTTTTCAGTGGGTTGGTTTGTTGCTGTTCTTATGTTGGTATGA